ACATTAATAATAACAATTACAACAACAATAATAACAATAATGATAAAAGTATGTTTGTTGTCTTTACTTTTTCCTGTGTTATGTACTGTGCGTACAGCTAGATTAATAGGTTGGTTGCAATCGTCACATTTTTAAAAACCCTATCCGTACGTCGTGTTTTACTATCGTACTCATACGACGATGGGAACTCTGTGCCACCACTTTCCAAAAAGGAAATTTACTCGTTAATCCGATCCGTACGCTTTGCACAGCAGTCTGTCAAAATGATTTTTTGAGAAATACTGAAAGTTTCAAAGAGATCTTCGCACTAGAAGTATTCTTCTTCTTCTTCCTTGTTCTCGATGACAGCAGCTAGGCAGTCAGTCCGATGTCGCGCACAAACTGTTCAGTTCGCTTCAACTCTGAGAGACTGCCATAGAGCTTTCTCTCAAGGGGAGCCACATTCTGCCACGTCTGTGTACGAAGGGTGGCGTAGCATGGGCAGAAGTATTCTAAAATGTGAAGAATATAACCCCGTGGGTACAAATTTAATATATTCAGTGTACTGTATTCAACAACCCAGCTGTAATTATATAGTTATGCTATATGTTCCATCAGTTATCCGACCCGGTTTGAAAAAAAGGTATGGTGCCTCCACCAGTAAACATCAGAGTGACGTGTCACAAACTTGACCACCCAGCCACGACACGGAAGTTTGAGGTTTGAATCCGTACTAAGTAAAAATGATCCTCTTTTCTCTGCCCCCCCCCCCCCACTCCTCCCCGAAAAAGAAAAAAAAATGTTCTAGCTTTGAACTTTGCACTTTGATACAATTACATCGATCACTGTAAAACTTCAAAATGTTTACACTGATCTATAAAAGCGAACAACATAAAAAAGAGTGAGCAGTGAACTTTTAAAATTTGAAACAATTAGATTTACCCCTAAAAAGAAAAAAAAAAACCCAATTAGATCTGTGACGGAAAAATCTCCAATGTTTAAGCTGTGAACTGAAAACTGTGAAACAATTAGATCTACCCCTAAAAAGAAAAAAAACGCCTCAAAGTTTAAGCTGTAAACTTCTAACTTTGAAACACACTCTTACACTCACACACACACACACACACACA